AAAACTGTCTCATTTACAAACGCAAAGCAACTGTTTATTATAAGGCTAAACCTCTATAAGGGTCAGAAGTAACATACCAAATTCTGCCAAGCTGGCACCCACACTTGAGAAACCACCCACTCAAGTATGCTAACTAGCTTTTCAACAGTTAACTCGTTAAGTGACAAAAAACAACAAAAGCAGAACTAAGTGGTAACCTTGCTTATCTAGTCTCTACAAGTTATCTCTTATAAATACCACAGTTAACTAACTACCTGCCTGCTTCAACATCCAAGCCTCACTTCTGGCTTAATGCCAGCTCTTCAAGGCATTTATTGTTTCTTCTGTTATTGCATCCTGTGAGGTTAAAGAGGGAGGGTATTAGTTTTGAGCACTGTGACAGTACAGAACGCATTGTGACAGGACAGCTGACGCGCACACACAACCAAGAGTCTGGATTTCCCAGGGATGCTGTTAGAGCAGGCTGCAAATCCAGTGCTTTCTGAGCCCAAAACAAAGATAGAAGAAAAAGCGGATTTACCCTTTCGTCTAGTTCATTACACTCTAACCTCAGTCTATCTCGCTCCTCTTGAACAAGGTATGCCTTCAAAGCGAGGCAGAGTGAAGAGGTTAAAGGAAAGGAAACAAAACAAAAAAAGAAAACAAAAACGAAGCACAAATTAGAAAAAGATTACAGAATACAGCAGGGTTTCCATGACATCTTGAAAAATACAATCTAACAGTCATTACAACAACTTCTCTAGCATTTATTTTCACACTTCCTGTATATTAAGATTAAAGTAAAAATGTAACTGCAGCGTCAACGTCCATATCCATCTCTTCCAAGTCACTGCAATAGAGGCATTATAATTCTGAATTTCAAGAATAGTTGAAAACTGTTCATTTTCCCATTTGCTTTACAAAAACTAGAAATAATGCTCAGTCTAAAAAGATCCCATGGTTTGGAGAATTGAGAATAACTATGAATTCAAGAGTTAAAGACGACCATTTTTTACAGTGATATTTTAATTAGATCCCTAAGGTAAACACCCATTGTGTTGTTTGAAAAACAACCTTGGAATAAGCATGAAAAGACTGCAATTAGAGGAAACACAGGCATGCAATATCATTTGTGGGCAACATCAGAGGAAGGGCACAGTGACTGCCCACATACAGAACAAGAGGAACCCCTCATGTCTGCTCTGTCATTTCTTTTAGATAACTTCACTGCAAACAGCTGCTAAACTTGCCTACAATCTTGGATTTGATCATGTCAGAGCAGCTCTACACATTGTAGGTTTTATGAAAGTAAGACCCTAGCTTTCCATTTAGCCAAAGCAAACCTGCTGTCTTTCTGAAATGGAGCTACCCTGAAGTAAACAAATTAAAAATGTACTAATTCATTTTACCAACCACTTATTGAATCACCACTGTCAAGACCTGAAACTTTTTCAAAGATGCATGGAAACCCTGTAACATGGCAATGAAAAGTAATTAAAAGCACAAAAAGTAATGATTTCCAAGACATAAGAAAAAAGGCTGAATTATTTAACTCAATGGATTTTAGAGGAAAGGTAATTACAGAAGTAAATACAATTTATCAACACGCACTTTTAATATCAGTATAATTCTACATTCATTAATATGAAATGCCTGTAAAGTGTTGAAATTAAGAAGAACATTACAAAAAAAAAAAGATTACAAATCCCTGTTAAAAAAATTGTTTGTGTTGTTCATTTAAGCCCACCTGCATGTCCAGCTCGTGACACCTTTGGGCAATTTCTTCTTTCGCAGCTAAAGCATCACTGAGCTCCTCCATTGTTTTCTTGAGCTAAAGTGAACACATAAAAAGACACATGATTTCACATTAGACTGACAGTTATTTTAGGAACCAGCTACTACTTTGGAACGGGCAAAATT